CCCCCCAACCTCCCCTTCTCACTTTTCTCGCCCCATCTCCCCTTACCTCCCTCCCCCCCCTCCCCCAAGGTCCCATTTGGAGGCCATTTTCTTTCAAACCACCACACCATGCAAGCGTGAGGGTCAAAATTCACATTCCCTGGAATCTACTTTAAAAAGTCAGGCAGTCCTAATGACCACCTGCAACCCCAGCACTTGGGAAGGAGAGAGATGATCCCGAGGCAAGCTGGACAGCTAGATTAGCCAGAATAAGTGAGCTCTGGGTTTCGTGAGAACCCAGAAGCCTCAGCAAATGAAATGGAAAATGATTAAGGACAATACTCCATGTCAGCTCCTCACCTCTAAATATACATGCACGCATATGAACCCTAACACATGCAAATGTACATGCACACATTCATATCCCACATAGAGAACAAACAAATATGTAAATAAATAATGTATGTGAACATAGTCCCTACGTCCAAAGAGTTCTAGAAGAGAGGACAATGGGAGAGTGGGCACAGGTATCAGTGTAGGTCAGAACAATTACTAGTATGGACTGTAATACATGGGGCGGGTGCAAATGCCAAAGCTATCAGGGAGGAGGTCATTGTTGTCCCTGTAATACTTAACCCTCCTTGAAGACAGTAGATGCTGAACAAGCAAGAGCTTAGAACACAGCTGGGCCTGACGGCCAAGGGGAGACTGTCAAATAAACACAAGTATGAACCAGAGCACCTAGAAGTTGAAAAAAAAAACCAAGTTGTAGCTTGAAAACACTGTTATGGTGTAGTCATCCACCATCTCTGGCTCTTAAAGTCTTTCTGCCCCTTCTCCGACTATGATCCCCAAGCCTTGTGGGATGGAGGTGTGCTATAGGGTTTTCTTTTAGGGCTGAACCCTCATAGGCACTCCCTGGCCTTGACCAGTTGTGGATGTCTGTGTTAATCATCATATAATATGAAAAGATGTTTCTCTAATGAGGTTGGAGAGATCCACTGATCTATGGGTGTAATAAGCGATTAAGACACAAGAGGGTCAGTTGCATGGTGGTGGCGCACACCTTTAATCCCAGCACTCAGGAGGCAGAGGTAGGCAGATCTCTGAGTTAGAGGTTAGCCTGGTCTACAGAGTGAGTTCCAGGATATCCAGGGCTACAAATAGAAACCCTGTCTCAAAACAAACAAGCAAAGATACACTAGGGCAGGTATACATATGAGCTCACAGCAGTGTGGCAGCGTGGACGAAGAGCTTTGCCAGCTCAAATCAGGCAAAATCCAGCATGGAGTAGGGAGGTGGGCACGGAGAGTTAGTGTCCTTTAAAGTTGTGGCTCCTGGTAGGTGTGACATACTCCAGAGCAAGGTCACACACCCAAGAAAACGGGCAGCACGAATTCCCCTTGACGGGTGTTCTAGAAATAGCGATGATGAAGAGCTGGGGGAGAATAGAGTGGGGAGGGTGGATCTGGCAGGAGCTGGTGAAAAAGAATGACTACTCTCCAACCACAATGTATGAGATTCTCCAAAAACTGACAAAAATAAGCATTTTTTTAAAAAGAGAGAGAAAATGTTTATGATTTATGTAAATTAAAGAGTGAGCATGTTTCTAGGAATTAGAGGTGAAGTTGAAATGGCACAACATTGGAAATGGGTCTGAGCCAGGAGTTAAGAACCTGGGTACCTTTTTGAGAGAAATAATGTTTTAAATCATTGAAGCAAGACAGCCAAACATCAGAAAGGCCTCTAGAGGCAAGTGGCTTCTTGGAAAACATGAAGACAACAGGGAAAGTAGAAAAGAGGGGTAACGTCCTAAGGGGTTTGACAAGACCTCATGTCACATTGAGTGTCTAGAGAGAAAGGAGAATTGGCTTCCAGAACAAATAAAACGTTGTTAGATTAGTCCAAGGTAAATCACGCAGATGCTTTTATTTACTATGTTAGTCTCTTGATTTTCCAGAGAGGAAGGCATAATGGATTTAAGTTTCTATAGCTCTTTTGCATGGAACAATAATATGCTCACATTCGACATTCATCTGGTTGTGTGTTGGAAACAGAGAAAGCTAGCCTCCATCTCCCGAAGACTGAGAAGTTAGTTGTCCAACCATATGTGCAGACAGTTATAATTCTGTGGATCTTTGTGATTGGTCATGAGTTGTACAGCTTCTGGATGTGATACTTTGGGATAGCAAGGTGAAGAGATTCACTCCACTTGAAGGGTCCAGCAAGGGTCCAGGAAGGAGTCTGCACTTGGCAGCGGAATGGGAAAATAAGTGAGTTGGCTGGGTGGAGAGCCACTTGGTCGGCTTTGGATATCCACACAAAATGTCAGCTTGGAGAACTTCATCTGTACTTTAAGGACAGAGCTATCAACTCTGCTTGCATCCACACTCCTAAAACAAGTAGGGAAAATGACTTGCTCATTGTATTTAGGTTGACATATACATTTTTATGGTAAGCTTAATAGCAAAGAATATCATTTCCAATGTGTGGTGAATGCTGACATTTTAAAATAAAACTGTTATGGTGCTTTAAAATCTATGTCCTATGTGGACTCTGAATGTCATGGTCGTTTCTGTCCCTTCTATCGTCTACAAACAGCAGGAATTATCTCCTTGACTATTTGATTTATGTAATTCTCCTCTTGAATTCGCTTTCCAGGCTTCTCTCCCACAAAGCTCTACCCTAAAATAATGTATTTGTATGTTTTCAAGCCTTTCATGGATCACCCTGGTCACCATTCTCCAAGGAAATGCACATAGTAAATAAAATCATTTCTGTTTCCTTTGGCCAGAGGTTTCTAAATGTCAATGTTCTCTTGAATTTGGTTGTTATTAAATTCCATTCTAACATCCAATCAAAACAACATAAATCTATTTTAAATTATGATAAAAATATCATACATAAAAAGTAAGTTTTCACTTGAAATCAACCTTTCTGGTAAGTGAAGTAGGGCTCAAGAAGCTGTGTGTGTATTCACTGGTGGGATGAGATGTGGATTCAGCAACCATTTGTTACTGGTTTTATAGTATATGATATAGAGGGTTTTCAATATCATTCACATATTTACATAGTTCAAACTGATAAACTCAAGAGTGAGTGAGTCAATTTTCCAGAAACAGGGTCTGGGTGCAGTCACACACTTCATGACAGAATTTGTTTGGAGCTTTCAAGAATGGCATGATGGGCTAGGGATGTAGCTCAGGGGTAGAGCACTTGCCTAGCGTGCATAAGGTCCTGTGTTTAATCCTTATTACAGGAAAAAGAGAGAGAGAGAGACATACTGTGGTAATATCTAGCCTTTGTGGTGGTGTGCACGCTGAGAAAGTCCTTCAGAGAGCTACCCAGGATTCACCATGGCTGGGTAGGAAAAACACTGAGAATCGCCAGGGAGAAAGTCTGTGCTCAGGAGCAGAGGCTGGGGGTTGGCCGCAGGGAGTGCTGGAAGGGAATTCAGGGTCTCTCAGGAGCCATGGGAACTTGACCAGGGGTTTAGGCGGTGGCCTCTGAGAAGCCAGCCATCTGTTGAGTGGGGGAGGAACCCCCTCTTCTACAAGGAGTCAGGAAGGTTGGTAAGGTGGAATTCAAGATAGTGTCCATCTCTCAGCAGGTGTTCAGGAACTTTCCAGGATTATCCCTGCTGTATTAACTGGCTTTTTGGAGCCTGTTTTCTATGGTAGGATATCTTGCTCAGCCTTAATGCAGGAGCTGGGGGAGAGCCTGTCTCTATGGAAAAAATGCCAAGCTTAGTTGACTCCCTATGGGAGACCTTACCCTGTCTGAGAAGTGGTTGGGGATAGAGAGAGGTGGTGCTTGGAGTGGAAGGAGGAGAGGGAGGGGGAACTGTGGCTGGTATGTAAAACGAATAAGAAGTTTAAATTAAAAAAAAAAAAAGAAATGGGAGCTTTCACCCCTGCCCCTGGACAGGGTTTCTCTGTATAATAGCCCTAGCTGTCTTGGAACTAGCTATTGTAGATCAGGCTGGCCTTGAACTCACGGAGGTCTGCCTGCCTCTGCCTCCCAAGTGCTGGGATTAAAGACATGCACCACCACCACCTGGCTAAAAGTTAAACACAGTAAGAGACTAACAACACTATCAATAATAAAACAATCATTTTAATAATATACTTTAATAAAAGTTATTTAAAATATGTGAATTGTTTATTTCTGAAAGATTCCTTTTAATATTTTTGAGCTATGGTAGACTGCAAGTAACTGGAAGCATAGACAAGGAAGACACAGGTTAAGGGTCACTCAGGGATTACTCAGGTACAGACAGGTCATAGCAACAGCCAGACCATAAGTTTGCAAGGTGGCCAAGGGGTGTGTGGTAGTTCTCTGTGAAACCTCAAATTTTTTGTGAGCCTCACATAGCCCAGAGTATTAGATTTAAGTGAAGTATTAGATTTAATGGAGGGAGGGAGGGAGGGAGGGAGGGAAAAAAGGAGGGAAGTAGGGAAGAAGAAAGAGGGTGGAGGGAGAGAAGGAGGGAGGGAAGAAGGGTGGGGGGAAGGGAGAAAGAGAAGGGGAATGGTCTGATAAAAAGCAGGGTCTTAACCCATCAGACAGAGAAGGTCTCTGCTTTCTCTACTCTCATGGGTATCCAGGATCTTGGCCTTTACACCCTTTGTGACACAGATTCTCTCACTGAACCTGGAGCTCACTTATTCAGCAAGAGTAGCCAGCAAACCTCAAGGGTCTTCCTGTGTCTGCCAGGGATTGCAGGGTGCATCTTGGCATGCCCAGCTACTTACATGAGGGCTGGGAACTCAGACTCTGGTCCTCATGCTTGCGCAAGGACGTTACTGACTGAGCTGGCTCCCCATCCTCATACTGTGTGGCTAAGTAATCCCTGATGGTCCCTTTCTAGGACAGAGCGACAAGATCACTGCAGATGGAACGGATAACTTAATCCTCTGCAGTAAATCTTCTTGCAGTCGTTGTTTAGAAGAATTTCTCTCAATTTCACAAATAGCTTTGGGTAATATCTTCTGAAAAAACTTAAGCTTTAGAAAGCCAGCATCAAGTTTCTTCCGTATTTGATTTGGAGCCCGGGAAATTCTACACATTTGCTCTTGTGTGGTAAACTCATCTTAAATACCTTTGAACTGATAATTATCTGGGACTGGAGAGATGGTTTGGTGGCTAAGAGCACCTGCCGTTCTTCCAGGGGACCAGGGTTCAATTCTCAGCACTCACAAAGCGGCTTAGAACATCTCACCCCCTCATCTGGCCTCCACAGGCACCAGGTGCAGGCAGAAAAGTAGCCATACCCATGAGATAAAATTAAAATTAAATTAGAACAAAGAAAATTAGAAGGGGACTATGTAAGAGAGGTACCTGAAACACAAGTATCCCAGAAAATCAACCTCCATCTCCTTCTACTGTGGAAGTCTTTGTACTTAACGGTCACACAGAGCCATAGTTCCCCCCAGCTCGTTAAAAGTGATGACTTTGTACACCTGGTTCAGGTAAAGCTCTCCCACTCAGGGGCTCTCCCACTTTTCCCCAAAGTGCACAGTGACTTGCGGCCGAGGCTTGCGCTACCGAGTGGTTCTGTGTATCAACCATCGTGGGCAGCATGTCGGGGGCTGCAACCCACAGATGAAGCTACACATCAAGGAGGAGTGCGTCATCCCCATCCCGTGCTACAAGCCTAAAGGTAAGCCTGAGGGGTGCTGCAGTTGAAATCCGGTCGGGTCTTCCAGCTCTTGTTCAGTACCGGGCGGCTTCCATCCCCACTTATTTTCTTCGGATGGTTTTGCTGATAGTTTGCAAGAGATCTGGCTAAGGAAGGTCGACAAACGTGATTTGTAATCTGGCGGGGAAACTGGGTGACTGTTGATCGTTGTTCACACAGGGGTGGTCCTCATCTGTCTAGGTTCGGGCTCACATCTCACGGTGGACATAAAATATTTCCTCATATAGTTCCCACCGTCAAGAGAAAGAAAGACGAGGAGGAGAAGGAAAAGGAGCGGAGGGTGAAGAAGGGGCGGCGGATGATCGATGACAGGGAAAGGAAGGAGGAGTCTGCTGTTCTCACCCCCAGAACAGCTCTTGGCCTCCTTCTTTGCTCTCGAATGGTGTGGGTGTCTCTCTCAGGCAGTGCCCCTTGACAGAAGCATGATAGCGTTAGCATGGTCTCAATGCATGGGATGAGGGAAGACTTAGCTGTGACTCTGTGTGTGCCACAATTGGTCCCTGTGGATATGCAGAAATTTAGGACTAGCAAGTCTTGATTACCTCACAGATCTTTGTTCCTTACCCCACGATTATTTCTCTGTGCCTATCCTTATGACAGAGATCTTCTTGACACAGAAAAAGATAGCCAGAGAGCTGGCTCAGCAGGGAAAGGTACTGGCCAACCGCAACAACCTGCTTTGATCCCTGGAACCCTTGTGGTTCTAGAAGCAGATGGGTTCTCTCTGACCTCCGCATGAGTGCTAACATGTGCAAACACACACACACACACACACACACACACACACACACGCACGCGCACGTGTAAATAGATGATAGATGGAAAGAAAGAAAAGAAAGAAAGAAAGGAAGGAAGGAAGGAAGATAGATAGATAGATAGATAGATAGATAGATAGATAGATAGATAGATAGATGTGATAAAAAGGAAATGGAAAAAGATTACTCTCACCTCTTTGTAAAGACTTTTCCTTAGTACTTCAGACAGAATGGTAAAATTCTTCCTTGGTTTCTTCTTTATGCAAACAGCCCCACAGTTCATCAGTCTACATGTATCTGACTAAGCCCATCCTATAGAAAGATCAGTAGTTGCCAAGCAAAGATACAATCACTATAGGGTTCCATCTCAAAGCCTTTGCTTATTACCGCTGTCATCAACAAGGCTTCCATAGACATGTTCTCAGTGTCTTTAATCTCCCTGAAGCATCTCCAAAGTCTTCACTTCACAACTGGATTAATTCTCTCCCCCTGTCATGGAAGCCTCAAAGGACAGAAGGGCGTAGCAATTGTCCCTTCCATGCCCACGTAGATGTTTTTCATTTCCCATGGTAACAATGGGATTTGAGTAAAGCCACCCGCAGGCTCTCATCTTTCCACTTCATTGGCCTGTAGATACTTGCTTTTCTCCATTAATTCATTAACTCAAGAGACAAGAAGGATTGTGGCAAAGGAAGACTCTGCTATTGTTGGAATACGAGCTTCAATATGAGCAGAAGGGGTGTTGAGTTATATAAGGCATTTGTATGTTTAACTTTTGGATGTTCACCCGTATTCAACTATATAACAGGGATCACTTTGGCTAAATTTTGTAATGTGTTGATTTAAAAAAAAATAGCAAGAATTTTATTCATTCCAGAAGCAAATGTACTCTGCATTTGAAAAGTATAAGCCCAATGTGAACGAACTCTCCAGCCAATAACAGGCGTGTATCAACGTTCTTACTTATCGCTAACAATTCAATTAATTGTTTTCTTTCTTTTTTGTCAGAAAAAAGCCCAGTGGAAGCTAAATTACCTTGGCTGAAACAAGCACAAGAGTTGGAAGAGACCAGAATAGCCACAGAGGAACCCAAGTGAGTCCGGGGCCTTTTATGGACACAATCAGGGCACAGCCAGTTTGCATGATATATGTCATTTTTGTACTCATTGGAGTTCAACGATACATTTAGTATCCAAATGACCTGGATTTACAGACTCCAGAGAGCCTGGGCTGGCTAGGGAGTCTCCTTATTTCACAATTTCAGCAGTCCTGCCTTGGCAGTGTGTGTGAGAAGCACGGAAAAGATTGTGCTCTTTAACTCAAAGCAGACCCTTGCGCTCTCGCAGGGATGAGTGGGGATAATTCTTGGATGTGCACATGTGGTTTAACTGAAGACCATCATAGTACTGTACAAATAAACCCATCGTCCTGAGCCTAAGTCATGGCCAATCTCTGTAAAACTCATGATGCTGAAATACACGAGGGTAGCCCGAGAAGAAGTCCCAGGGCTGCTAGGACCCAGAGAGACAGAGAGTGTGGTACAGTGTGGACTAGACCTACGAACCACCCCTATGGACCCTGTGGCTTCATTGTTCAGTGTTGGTGGCTCATTCTTTGTATAATGGGGACAGGTTGGGCCTGACTCTTCAGGGCCCATTCCAAGTCAGAAATTAGCAGCTACTGTCTACATGGCATGGGATGAAGCCAGCTTATAATGGTGTCAACGGACTTGTAGAATCAAGAGCAAATCAAAGCAGCGTTCTTGAGGGAGAGAGAGAGAGAGAGAGTGAGAGAGAGAGAGAGAGAGAGAGAGAGAGAGAGAGAGAGAGAGAGAGAGAGAGAGAGAGAGAGACCCAGAGAGAGAGGAAGGAAGCAGAGAGCCTGAGCTGGCTAGGCCGAGGAGCCCGTCACAACAGCAGCACCCGTGATAGACCGGAGAAATTGGACGGGACAGCTGATCCCGCAGTGGGCAGTTGAGTCTGGAGTGCTGACAAGCTAGCTGCAAAGAGAGCGAGTCACAGATGGGACAGGAAAGAGGATCTCAACAGCCATCTGGCTTCTTTCCCCGAGATGTCAACTCCAACCTGCTTCTTTTACAAATACAGAGAACCGAGTAGAGAGACACGGCCTTGCGCGAGGCCCGTAGCTCCTAATGGTGGCTCTCAGCTCCAATGCTCATGGTACCGGAGCCCATTTCCCAGTCCACAGCGCTCTGGGACTCTTCTTATAACCACTCAACGCCTTCAGCCATGGGCGGAGGTCACTACGCTGAGGCACAGCTCACTGTAGTTGAACAACACAAGTTCTTTATTGTAGCTCAAGTCGCTTCTAGCTCCCACACTTGGAGAGATAGTGTTCTCTTGATCCAAAGTACAGTTCCTTCTAACGCCTATTTTCTGAAACAGATGTGTATGCTATACTCTGTGCTTTCTTAACTTGAGAGAAACCTGTCACAGGGCCTAAGAACTTGTCTTTTCTAAGCCCATGATTCTTGGTGTCTCAGCACTTTTCCCAGGCTGTGGTTTCCAGGTCCCTTACCAACCTGCTCCTCTTGTCTGAGCATACCACTCCTGTTTGTCACTGTGCCCAGCAGGGAGCCCCAGAAGGGGTGTGGATGATTTAGCTCTCTTGGGTGAAGCAGGCCAAGAGCCCTGGCTTGCCTCAGCTCAGGCTTGGCCTGCTGCTTCCCCACGGGTGGGCCTGACTCCCACCACAGACGGAACTGTGGATGCTGCAGGTGGGTGGCCCCAGGGCTGCAGCATCAGAGACATCAGAATGCTTGCATGGGATCCTCGGCCACACTGACCTTCGTACAACAGGCTGACACTGCCCCCCCCCCACCCCTTCCTCAGCCTTCCCTTGCCATCCCACCTACACTCCATGTGAATCTTCGTTTTTGAAGGAGTTTTAATGATAGAGACTTTCAAACCTACCCAGAAGGGGCAGCACGGGGAGCGAAGAACCCCCATGTGTCCACGGTGAGCCCCTCAGGGCCACACTGCGCATCTGCAGCCTCCACCGACCGAACACAGGGCATCGTATCAGAGCGCTCGCATGGTTCAGTGCATCTGTCTCTAAAAGGGAAACGAGCGTTAAAAAAAAGTGACGAGTTTAAAATGCAGTCCCCAGACCACTTCCATCACGCTCATTTAGGCTGTGTTTTAAGGTGCAGTGAAGTGGGTCCTGGTGACTCCCATCTATAATCGTAGCACTCGGGAAGGATCGCAGCAGGAGGATTGCCATGAGTTTGAGGCCAGCCTGGGCTACATAGTGAGTTCCGAGGCTAATCTGAGCTACGGTGGGAGACACTTTTACAAACAAACAAACAAGCAAAATATATAATAAACTCTTTGTCAGGCGTATTGGAAGTGGGGCACCATCATTCTCCCCCTTTTGTGACAGTAACGCATTTCCCTCTTTCTATGGTTTTTCATTCAAGCACAAGGCTTGGCACTTTGACCACTTGAAAGCATACAGTTCAGCATCACTGAGAACACTCACACTGCTGTCTGACCTGTCCAGAGTGTCCTCGTCATTCTTAGCACAAACTCTGTGTCTGTGGAACGGTCCTGTTACCTTCCCAGCCCCAGACTCTGATCATTACTGTTCTACTTTTTGTCTATGAATTCAGTCAGGAGTCGCTTGTTGTGTTTGCTGGCCTTGAACTCGTGACCCTCTGATTTCCAAGTGCTGCCCTACTTGGCATCACTTGCGTGTTCAACGAGCACTCCGGGCTTCTCCGAGGCTGCTTAGGTTTTTTATCAGCTGGACGCCAGTTAGAATCATCAATTGAGGAAATGCCCCCATCAGATTGGTGTGTAAGCAAGCTTGTGTGGCATTGTCTTGATTAATAATCGATGTGGAAGGGCCCAGCCTGCCGGGGGAGGCAGTGCCAACCCTTCAGGGTGGTCCTGGTTTGTATAAAAATACGAACTGGGCAAGCTGTAAGAAATAAGCCAGTAGGCAGCATTCCTTCATGGTCTGTGATTCGGTTTCTGCCTCTGGGTTCCTTCCCTACTTGGGTCCCTGCTTTGTCCCTCAATGACAGACTGATGGGGATGTGAAAATTTAACCCTTTTCCTCCCCAAGTTGCATTTGGTCCTGGTGTTATCCCAGCAATAGAAACAAAGGGTTGGCTGTGAAAACAAATTTTGACGCTAACGGGACAGGTAGTTCTTCAGGTCCCTTTGAAGTTCAGAAAACGCTGTTCATTGTAATGAATTAGTAGACAGCAGTAACGGATACACTATAGCTATACCGGGTTCCTCCCGTGTTTGTTTCAAGCCTGCATTTCTGCCACTGGTACCTGACTTAGATAGGGGTTCCCCTTCCCTCCACCACAAAGCAAAGCGGATGTGCTCTTTGTTCCTGAAGGGACCCTTATGCTCTCCACACCTTCTGAAGCCCTGAGCCGCCTGCACCTGTTGCCTGGGCTCTACCCCGCCCCTGCCTTCTCCCGCTCTCAGGTCTCTATGAAGCCCCCCTGTATTTTCTCATTGCCTGGCATTTGCTGGCCTGCCGTTGGCCGGCTGGTGTGAAGTTTTTAGTTTCCTGCCCCTCCTGATTCCGCTCATTGCCTTCATTTCCAAACACAACCGCAACATAGTTCAGCTTCCAGTTCCCCCTTGTATGGCAACTGTCTTTTGCGGTCTGGGATGCTCGCTTGTTGACAGTGAACGAGAGGATGATCCCAGCTGTATTTCGCTTCCCTCAAGGAAAGCCTGCCAAGCCAGCCGGAAAAAGATAAATACTCCCACCACTGCGGTTTACCAAGGCCGAGCTCTGAATTTACATAGAGAGTGGGTGTTCAAAAGACTTTTGTTTTAATTAGGAAAATAAAAAAAATAAATAAATTAGTGCTTATAAAGTGGAAGCCAAGGGAACTGTCATTCTGACCTTCCTGGTGTCTGCTGTGGGATGTGTTCTCAGTCAATATATTTGCTCTGTCGTTTGTCGACATGTTTAAATTCCTCCCTGGAGCCTCTGTGCATCTCTGGGATTCCCAGCGTTTCCGTGGGTTTGTGACCCCAGCTCCCATTTTTTTTTCATATATGAAAACGAACTCGGACAGACGGAGACATTTGCATGCGGTCTTCACTGCTATTTTGGCTTTGCTGTGAGCGAAAATTGTATTTGCTCAAACCGAGTCGGGCTGCGTTTCAGGAATCTGCTTTCCTAGCCCCCACTAGCACAGAGCGCTTCTTTAAGGGGAGATCCTGTTCTGAGTGTGCTTGTGGGGATGACAGTCATTTAATATGGGGTGTTAGGAGTGTCTGCATTTGGGGGCCGTGTGCGCCAAGGTGCCGAAAGAATAAGTACTGGCCTGGTTCAGAGCTGGTCAGTGACTGACAGAGAGATTCGATGGGCTGTCATAGGAGCTGGGTAACTTTAGTCTGTATGCACAGATTACAAAATAACACAACTCTGAGAATGCATAACCACAGCAAGGTACTCAATGGCCTACAATGGGCTGCAGTCAGAATTCACGCACACGTGACCTTCAGGTTTCACGCCTAAGATATCTAGCAAACCAGTGGATTTGGTGTTCAGACTTGAGCCTGTCCTCGGGATATTTGATAATGTGTATGGAGATATGCTTAAACTTAAAAAGCAGGCAGAATCTGAGGAAGCTTTTGATGCCAAGCATTTTGGGTAGAGAGGTTCAGCCTGTCCTACAGAAGGGGCTTCAGTTTCCGGTCAGCTGATAGGAATTCAGGTTTCTTCCTTCCTAAGTTACACTGTGGGATTCTAAGATGACAGTGGATTGTGGAGCCTCGGTGTTTGTCTTAGTTGGGGTTTCTATTGCCGTGAAGAGGCTCCATGGTCATGGAAACTCTTATGAAGGAAAACATTTAATTGGGGTGGCTTACAGTTTCAGAGGTTCAGTCCATCATCATCACCATGGCGGGGACATGGCGGCGTATAGGCAGATATGGTTCTGGCTGCATCTTGATAAGAAGGCAACAGGAAATGGTCCGAAGCCCTGAGCATGGCTTGGGCAATGAGATCTCAAAACCAACCCTCCCAGTGACATGCTTCCTCCAACAAGGCCATAGGTACTCCAACAAAGCCACACTTCCTAATAGTGCCCCTCCCACGAGCTTATGGGGGCCGGTTATGTTCAATCCACTACAATGTCTTAAAATGACATTAGAAATTGTTAGGCATCAGGGGCTGTGTCCTGGGAAGGATGATTTGGTGACTTGAGATTCTGATGTCCCAAAGGTATCAGAAATACTGTGTGACTGTATGGGGCAGTGGATGTGTGTCTGATGGCTGGCCCGTACTTTCTGGATGTTGGGGATCCCTGTGTACAGACAAAGGCTTGCAGGATTGAGGGAGTCGGTAATGGCAGAATGGAGCAGATATTGGCGGTAGCCAAGGTTCAGTAAAGAGCCTGGACTTTATCTAGAGGCAGTAGCAGTTGAAGGGCTTTAACCAGAAAAATGGTGTAATCGTTACTGTTCTACATCGTAAAGGTCTCTAGTTGTCTGCGACTTACTGCTAGTTATTTTACCACGGATAAACCAAATTATAGCAAATCTCAAGTTTCTAGCTATCCAGCGAGGATAACCCTGCTAGGGTGAGATTTCTGGACCAAAAGACAGACTCACTGAATGGCTTTTCTGCCACCAAGTTTCCAAGTTTCCCCGGCTTGGCTGTGGGCTCCTGCAGGAGAGTCACTCAAGTGTCTTAGTAGTTCTTACAGGATTTGGGAAGCTTTTGGAAGTACTCCGTTCAGAGGCTTAGTAAGTTTGGGACATCCGTATTGGGAACTGCTTCTCGACACCTCGGCAACAGCTTCTCGCACTGTCTAGCAGATGGATGCAGACACACTGGAGCCTGGGTTCTGCTTATGCCATGGTGCACATTTGTCCATCTCACTTAGTGTAGTGTGAACTCGAGTATCATAGTCGTGGGGGAGGTGCTGGAGTAAAGGAGCCCGTTAACTGGTGTTACTCAATCCAGAGTTTCCCAAACTTAATCTCTCACTGAATTCTTCCGCCTATCTCTTTATTTTCTTTTAGTTTTTTTATTAACTTATTTGCGTGCGTGTGTGTATGTGGGTGCGTGCATGTGCGCCTGTGTGTGTGTACGTGCGTGCCTGTGACAGGGACAGGCATGTGTGTCACAGATCATGTGTGAAGCTCAGAAGATAACTTTTAGGAGTCATGGAGGAAGCACCTTCTACCTTGTTTGAGGCAGAGTCTCTGCCTTCATACTACATACTCCAGGTCAGTTTGCCTGTCCCTGCCCCCATGCTGCACACTCCAGGTGAGTGGGCTTCTAGATAATTCTGTTTTCTTCACTTAGCCCTAGGAGGGCTAGGAGAGCCCACTCCCACAGCCAGCTTTGTACAGGGGTTCTGGGCATCCAACTCGGGTTGTAAGGCTCAGATGGCAAGCACTTTTACCCACTAAGTCATCCCCCCATCCTTCTATCAATTTATTGATATCCTGTGATACAAAATATTGCTTCAGAGTATCTTACATATACACATCCCTACTGAATGCATACAAGGGATAGAAAGCTTTTCTGAAGAGGGCCAGAGAGGAAATACTTTAGCTCACAAAGAATAAATGTTCCGCTGTGAACACTCAGTTCTGCCCAGTAGCAGGAGAACAGCCATACACGGGAGGGGGACAAATGAGTGTGGCTGTGTCCCATGTACGGTTTTCATTATAGAGACGAAAATGTGGATTCTATTTGGTTTTCATGTGTTCCCAAAATATTATCCTCTTTCATCACCAACAGCATCAAACTGTAAAAGTCACTTGTAGCTGATGGGCAGTTACAAGAACAGTTCTAAGCTGGATTTGATTTGAGAGGCCCAGTCTGACAACCCTTATGACTTCGTGGGCGTAACTCAGGGTAAAGGATAAATGTTTCAGCCCAAGGCCAGTTCTTGCACTGCCACCTCCATTCAACATTTGAAGGCCCAGGTATTTGTTAAACATGAAAAGAAACCCCAGCTTCATCCTCTCTGTCTCTGCCTCACCCTGCAGCAGAGTTCTCAAGTATGGAGAAGGTTCAACACTATTCCCCCGGTACAAAGGGGGAACTCACCAATGACTGGCTGAATAAAGATTAGATATCTTTGAATAAAAGCATGTCATTCTCTCCAAATGATGGCTTATTTATTGCATCCTAAGAAATATTATAATGTGCCAGGCGGTGGTGGCGCACACCTTTAATCCCAGCACTCAGGAGGCAGAGGCAGGTGGATCTCTGTGAGTTTAAGGCCAGACTGGTCTATAAGAGCAAGTTCCAGGACAGGCCCCAAAGCTACAAAGATGCCCTGTCTTGAAAAAACAAAACAAAACCAAGAAATATTGTAATGCTTCATGCTAGTCCTAGCAAAGAACTTTGATTTTTGTGCGCAAAAGTAGTGTGCCTTTAATGAAGAATTCTGTTGGCTGTAAGATGTCAAAACACATGAACTACAGAACTGACAGTCGTCAGAACCATAGCCTTCCTCGTGTGGCCCACGTGTGATCCTCTCCTGCCTTCCCGTGTTTTTCAGGTTCATCCCAGAACCCTGGTCAGCCTGCAGCACCACGTGTGGGCCGGGCATTCAGGTGCGTGAGGTGAGGTGTCGGGTGCTCCTCACATTCACAGAGACGGAGACCGAGCTCCCGGAGGAGGAGTGTGAAGGCCCCAAGCCACCCACCGAGCAACGCTGCCTCCTTGAAGCCTGTGACCAGAGTCCTGTATCGCGAGAGCTGGGTGGCCCCCTCCAGGAAAAGGACAGTGAGATGACCTACGACTGGGAGTATGCTGGCTTTACGCCCTGCACTGCGACGTGCTTGGGAGGTATTCAACCTTTTTCCTAAGGGATAGAAAACCCGGTCTATTGTGAAGGGTATGACTGGGTCACATAAACTAGATATGTAAATTGGCAAAAGTCTGAAAGGGATGAATTCATTCAAATAGCAAAGCTATGCTTTTTCCTTTTTTTAAAATATTTGAGAGTTATAGTAACTAAAACAGTACCTTTGGCCCAAGAATCTGCTTCACCAAGAGGGGAAGAGGTTCACTGGTTAATACAGATTAGTGAGAAAAACGCAGAATGGATATATTGAAGCACTCTTACGTAGAAATCAGTGTCGAAGAACTAGGCAGCCTGGGATTGCTTATAGCGGATGCAAAGCTCAGTAAGATGCATCATAAGAAAATGTTTCTGTTCATGCCTGCCGCGGGGTCAGGAGCCAGACAAAGCATGTTCGCCCCCATGGTGGACGCATGGTTGTGTGTGGAAAACTGACATGCAAAACCAGTCTAGGCATCATACGGGGCCAGGCTGGGCATCGTGCAGGGCCAGGCTAGGCTTTGTGCAGGGCCAGGCTAGGCATCGTGCAGGGCCAGGCTAGGCATTGTGCAGGGCCAGGCTAGGCATAGCAGATAAGGGTAAATGTAGCCAGATTCTCCTTAGAGGGTGAAGTAAACCTTGGGGTTATTTTAAGCATTAAGGATATTTTTAAGGAACAGATTAGCAAGGAGCAGGTGTCTTTCTAGCTTTCTCCTTAATGTAGAAGAATGAAAATAACCAGCAAGGCGCTAGGAGCATGGCTTAGTAAAGAACCGGCCACACAAACACGAAGACCCGGTGGCTTAGGGTTTCTATTGCTGTGAAGAGAGACCACGACCATAGCAACGCGTATTGGCCCGTTTACAGTTCAGAGGTTCTGTCCATTACCATCATGGTGGGGCATGGCAGCACGCAGGCAGACATGTTGCTGGAGAAGGAGCTGAGAGTTCTACATCTTGCAGGCCACAGGGAGTGAACTAAGACAGTGGGGTGACTTGAGCATACATGAGACTTCAAAGCCCACCCCACAGCGACACACTCCCTCGAGAAAGGCCACGCCCACTCCAACAAAGCCACATCTCCTAATAGTGCCGCTGTAAAAAGCCAGGCGTGGGTGGGGAAGATAAGTGGGTTCCAGGGACTCAATGGAGACTAATCTAGTCCAATCAGCGAGCCTGGGGACAGTGAGATGCCATGTTTTAGAAACAAGGTGGATGGCTCGTAGGGAACAACACCCATGGTTGATATCTAGCCTTCACCTTCATAGTCATGCGTGCCTGTGTGTGCATGCATGTGCACACACACACGCACACACACGCACACACACTTGATTTAAAAGAAAACATATAAAACTTTAAATTTTCCTAACAAGAACGTGCCCTAGTTTCCCAGGTGATCCAGGGCCCCTGACACCCTGTCCAGTAACTCTTGACTTAACTGTCCAGCCAGATAGTTGCCACACAGTGGGCTCGCTCCCTGAGTACCTTCTGACCTCAAAGAAGGTCAGAAAGCAAAGAAACAGCTACCTCTGAGCTGTTGGCTCACAAGCGCACTCTGCTCTTACTTGAGTGGGTGGCTTGGAAAGCCCTAGGGGACAGAACTCAAGGCCAACCCTTGTGACTCAACTCCTCATCCTTGAGATGAATTCTCAATCCTTGCTCTCCAGTGTCGCCGGCCATCTGTCCCTTCCCTGTCTATTCCAGTCTCTGAACACACCTATCTCTGCTCTGTAACGTTGCCACCTTGGCACTGAGCCCAGCTAGAGTGGCACTGTGCCCACTCCAGGTGACTGAAAAGCTACAGTTAGCTTTGTGTGTGGAGCTGTCTTTGTGAAATTTGGAGAAAGAGCCCATAGCCGAGTCAAGGGTGGAGGGGCATGCCTGTCGACTCAGCACTTGGGAAGTACAGAGGCAAGGAGATCAGGATTTCCGAGATTATCTTCTGATCGTGAATTTGAGGCCAGCCTGGGCCACACAAGAGCCCTAGCTGCCTCCGTTTCTCTCCCTCTCTCACTTGGGGCTCCCTCCTTCCTAGAAGTCTGTTCCACTTCACTAGGAATTCAGCCTTACTAGTTCACTTGGATCCAAAACACAAGCCATGACTCTTATCTCTAGAACACATGGCCTCAGTGTTCCCCAAAACTGGAGTGGGTTTCCCCCAAACTTAACTTCTCTTCCTCTAAGTTCAGGACCTCGGATGCCTCTTTTTACACATTTTGGAAACCTTAACACTGGCGTGCTCTTGGCATATAGAAAGTGGCTCTTTCTCTTGAGGAGCCCTTCAAGCAGTGAGAGACAGTAAAAGTTGAACCGGCTCACCCTGCACTCATTTTATGCTCCCTAGGGGGATGTGTTCCTGACACGGTACATTAGCAGCACTGTTTGGCTCTCTCCAAAACCCTTCAAATCTTGACAGGCCGCGAGCTGTAGTTTTTTCCAGCTACTCTCGATATAACCAGTCACTTCCTGTCAGGCTCCAGAGATGTTTATGATGTCTATCATGAGGCCAAACAGCCTTCAACTACCTTTAATCTTTGCCAGCGGTGTCGTCACAGGTTCCTGAGAAGGAGCCACCTGTGTGGGACACTGAGCCATGTGCACATTTGCTAAAGCGTGGCACTGTTCTCTGGACTCCTCTGGGGCCTTAGCATACTCTGTTTCTCTCTTCTTATTACCTGAAGGCTGTAGTAGTCTGCACTTAATCCTTTCAGTATGATCCCTAGTGCACATGCGCACAACATCACACACAAATGTCATACACATAGCACATACACATCTATCACACATACAATACATCATACACATAGCTCACAGGCACATATCACACGTGCACACACCCCTTATATGTGAGGGTGTGGTATGAACTTGTCAATAATCTAACTCAAACTGATCAAAACCAACAAAAAGAAATGTATTTGTTCTTTTAGTTAGCTTGTTTGTTTGATAGAGAGTGTTATTATGTAGCCCTGACTATGTTGGAACTCACAGTGTAGACCAGGCGGGCCTCAAACTCGTACAAAGATCTGCCTGCTTCTGCCTTCAAGCTCTGGGACTAAATGAATGTGCCACCATTCCCGGCTGTATTTATTTTTATTGACTCTGCTTCTACTATTAGAATCTTGGTTTTCACTGTCATCATCTTTTATTTCTTGATGAAGACTTTGAAGTGTGTATTTTTATACACATGTGCATACATGTGCCATCACATACGTGATAAGGATCCCATAATATGATACTATGTACAGATGTCACTCTGTCTTGCTTGTGCAAGGATGCTTTATGTTTGCACAAATTTACCCAATAACATATTTCTTTGTATGTTTCCTTGTCCTTTGCATATGGCCGTGTATGTGTGTGTGTGTATGTGTGTGTCAATAAGAATTGACACTTTCGTCAAAACACTGCAGAAATCAAGTATGAGGGATATATTCTCATGCAACAAAAGGAATTTTTTATAAACTTCACTGAACACATTCATTAACATGTTCTAAGCATGTAAATTTAGTGACCTGAATTTTGTTAGGAATAACATGAACTTATTTTGATTAATTTTAAACTTATTTTTTTTTCTGTTTTAAAGATAACTGTTTGATCAATCCACTCCAGAAGTAAGAAGTGTTAATATCACGCTGTTGGATCAAAATGTGGTTTAGGAAATATTTTCGGTCACCTTTGGGAAATATATTCTACATCAATGAATATTCCAAATTATTTAGTAGAATTTTAACTTTTTTTCTATTTACAAAAAGTATGTCCTTGGTGTTATAAATTCTATCCAGATGGTTTCAAGTAGTTTTCTAAGACCTTCCCCCCAGCCTGTTTCCATAAAATCTTCCAAAACATTCTGAATATATTCTCTAAAGAATTTGTTACAAATTGAAATGTATTTGAAATATGACTGCAGTTTTCTTAGATAAATAAACAAATAAAATCTATTAGGAAATGAGCATCCATTCTCCTGTGAGGCTACTAAGGGATTTGATATTGTGCAATAACAGTCATAGTTACTAGGCTGTAGCCATGTCTTCTTGTCTTCTGGGGTAAGCGGAGCTTGTTTGAAACACTCCAAGAAAATGCTTGCTGTCAGTCCACTGTCACAGTGAGCAGGACAACACAGATGCAGACAGAGGGAGGCATTTAACAGAGAGAACTGAACAAGGAAAATAGCCATCTTAGAGTCTGTTGGCCTAGACTGCCCTCTGCAAAATGCCGTGAAATGGTTGAATTGGAACATGGCATTCGGAGAATGGGCCACAGACTTGTAACGTAGCGGAATGTGCATCCGGCATGAAAGTGAGTGCATTTGGGTATTTCAAATATCAGATATTTTTCATCAAAAGTTTGAGCTCTATTTCACCCGATTCCAAGTTTCCGATAATTTCTCACTTTTGTCTCAGCAGACGAAGGGTACTGATTGAGCGTGTTGGCTTTAGGAGTCACGTAGATTTGTCTGTCTGGCCTCCAGGGGAGAGCATGCCTGTGAGTGTTCACGTTTACTTGAGGGGCTATCACTGCACGTGAAGCCATGTCACACTTTGGAGCCCCCAGAGTTCAAGACACAGACCCCTGAATCCAGAGGCAGGGAATTTACTCTTCCAGGGTTCACACACACACACTTATTTATCTATTTTTATCTTTTTATTCTCTCTCTCTCTCTCTCTCTCTCTCTCTCTCTCTCTCTCTCTGTGTGTGTGTGTGTGTGTGTGTGGTGCATGTTTATATGTATGTTTGCATGTATCTGGACACACACGTGTCCATGTACATATAGGGGCCCTAAGTGTTGTCAGGAATCATCTTTGATCAGTCATCTGCCTTATTCACGGAAGCAGAGTCTCTCAATCAAACCCAGAGCTCACGAATATGAATTTGGATTCCGCAGACAGCTTGCTGTGGGGAATCCCAGCTCTCTGCCTTCCGAGGCTGGAATCCAGATGAATGGCCACATCCCCTGAGCATTTACTTGGGTCTGGGGACCTAAACTTTGTTCCTCACCCTTGGGCAGCAAGCACGTTAGCAGCTGAACCATCTCCCCAGGCCAAATCTGCAGTTTTTAATTTACCACCGTTTCAGTCTTAATTTCTCTCTAAGTTTCAAATTTCTTATTGTTACATAAGAAATGAAGACCTGAATGCCATTTATTTGGCCTCGTGAGTTACTGTAGACTTAGACAAATGCACATCAAGCCCTTGAGCAATGGGAGGCATTTCTGTACATAAAAGCACCAATAGTTGCTTTCTTATTGCACAATTCAAAGGGCAACTGGATTCATCAGTGTGTGGTGACCTAGGAAAAGATGATATTATCGAGCAGAACATGTAAAGTTCTCCCTCAGGAAAATGTTGTACATGGTGGAAAGCTGTGCCTTGACTGGGGGGTTCACCTAGCTTTGGATTCTTTGGAGGCAGTCGCTTCTGAGTGTCGGCTGCTCCTAAACGTCTCCAGGTGAGGAGGTGAGAGACTAGACGGACTGAGTCTAGAGGTGGGTGAAGGCGTGTTAAGGGCTGGAGTCTTGGGGCTTTCTCATCGCTGGTTCCTGACGCCGTCCAAAGGGCAATGTGCTAGGGATGTCAAGTCCCGAGAGCCTGTTTTCATCTTTGCCCGGTGACTTATTCTGTATGTGGGTTCCTTCTCTTCCCGCCTTCCAGGCCATCAAGAAGCCATTGCCGTGTGCTTACATATCCAGTCGCAGCAGATCGTCAACGACAGCCTGTGTGACATCGTTCACCGCCCCCCAGCGATGAGTCAGGCCTGTAACACGGAGCCCTGCCCGCCCAGGTATGCACTGCCTTACGCAGATAGAAGAGAAATGCTGTCGGGACAGCAGCATCCGCCAAAGAGAAACTTACTGTGCACAGAGACTCACAGGCTCATCAGCGTAGATCAGCCGAGCCCGCTCAGAGCTCTTGTTTGCTCAAGTTAGTCTTTGGCCTCAGTTTCTCTGGAGTACATTCAAGAGCTAGGCGGAATTCCTCTTAAGCCTGACTTTCGTTTGCATCAAGCACCGGTGGGCATAAACTGGCCTGCTATTCTAAAAGTCAGCCAGTGTGTTCCCTTCTTCCTCTGGTGATGGAGCATCTGCAGGAGAGGTCACATGGGCCACAGCAGGCACTCCATCCTGATTTGTGGACAACTCAGTGACCTCCTTGTCACCTAAAACTCACACAGGGATGCCACTACCTTCCTGTGCCGTTGAGTTTCTGTCAACTTGGCACAAATTAGAGTCACAGAAGAAGAGGGTACCATACCTGAGGAACAGCCTCCATCAGATTGGCCTGTGAGCATGTTTGTGGTTTGTTTACTTGCTTGACAACTAAGGTGGGAAGACCTAGCACAGTGTGGGAGGTACACAACCTCTGGGCAGATGGCCCAGCAATCTGAGCAAGCCACGGGGAACAAGGCAGTTTCTCCATGGCCTCTGCTTCAGTTCCTGCCTTCAGGTTCCTGCCTTTTGTTTCTTTCAATGATAGTAACCTGAAAGGAAAGAAAGAAAGAAAGAAAGAAAGAAAGAAAGAAAGAAAGAAAGAAAGAAAGAAAGAAAGAGAGAAAGAAAGAGAAACACACAAATACACACAACCTTTCCTCCCCATCAATGTTTACCGCACTAACAACTAACAAAGAAGCAGGCGAGGACACGTTTACTTCAATCTTGCCTCGGGTCTCAGATTATGGAGTTTGAAAGGCCATAATGCCCAGTACAGCCAAGGTTGATTTGTTATGGTCTCTTTGGTTTGAAAGACTGACCCTAAAAGTTAATCTGCTTCCTGCCTGGGTTCTCTCTCCCTGGGTTTTGATAGCTCCTCGTTGTTGGTTTGTCTCACAGACCTTTCCCGGTGTGGCCCTGGGTGTCCTTTCCCTTTGTCTCCCTTTATTATGGCAGCCGCTCCTCTGCTTTAATAAAAATTAGATGTCAAAACATTGAGACCCCATTCCATCATCTCCTGCCCCTCTCCTGGAATCTCAGTGATTATGTTGGCCACCTGATGAGCCGCCTTCGTGTGTTAAAGGCAGGTTTGGCCACGTCTAGAACTCTGAGCCATAGGCAAAGGTTACTGTGTCCCCTGTCTACCATCCGAAGAGCACATAAGTGTGTTTTATGAGCATTCAGGAAACGAGCTATGCTTGAATTCCCTTAATTCCTCTGTGAAATGTGTTGGCTGTGATGCTGACCCCCTCCTGCCTTGATGGCATAAGAATGAGGCCCAGGGAGGTTGGGCCAGTCTGCTTACCAGGTCCTCTACAGTCTGGAGAGGGGCATCCTTCCTGCATGAACCTTGTCCTCTAACCTGGAGTGTCTTAGGAGGAGGCCAGCTCAGATTGCCTTGTATTAGTAAAACCTTGTCCACAGTGAGACGACACAGTGGGTTTTTTTTTGTTTTTTTGTTTTTTGTTTTTTTTTTGTCTATTCCTATGTTTCTGACTTTGTGGGTATCCATCAGAAATACTAAGAATTTCTTGGCTGCTCTCAGAGCCATCTTTCTGGACTTGGATGGGATAGTACAGTAAAATCCAAGACCCAGAAGCAGCACAGGGAGGTCTCACCCCATCACCTCCCATTCCCAGCTTGGTGACTGTACTTCAGGGTAGTCCACACCAGAGTAACCATTACAGAATAGGCAATGCAAATGGGAGAGGGGGCAGTCTGGTCTCACTGCCAAGCAGGACACCCACTTTGTTACTGCACCCAGAACTTTCCGTGAGGGTCAAGCACAGTCAGCTCTTTGTGTCCAAGGGTTCAACCATTGCACACTCAAACGAATCGTGATTAAAGAATTGTTTTAGTGGCCTAGGAGTATAACTCAGTATAGAGGGCTACATAAGGGCCTAGCATATGTAAGGCCTTCTGTTTGATCTCTAGCACTGTGGAAACTTATCTTTTTCTGTCTCAAACATAACCAGTGTGATAACTAATCTTGTCGTCAGCTAGACTTTGGAAACGAGACCATCAGTTGAGTAGCTGCCTCCATCAGATTAGCCTGTGAGCTGCCTCCGTCAGATTAGCCTGTGAGCACACCTGGGGAGCATTTTCTCAATTGCTGGTTGGTTAGAAAGGTCGAGCCTACTATGGGCAGCACCATCCCTAGGCAGGTGAGCTTGGGCTTTATAAGAAACTGGTAACTGATTGGTAATTGATTCATGAGCTTGGAAGCAAGCCACTGAGTGAGCAATACTCCAGTTTAGACCCAACTTCAGGTTCTGAGTCCAGATTCCTGCCTTGAGTTCCTTCCCTGTCTTCCCTTGATGAGAGACCACAAAGGGTTAAGATGAAATAAACCCTTTCCTCCCCAAGTTGCTTTTTGGCCACCGTGTTTATCATACCAACAGAAAAGCAAACAAAAACACGAGACTCATGATTTCTTGTTGCTACTCCCCGAGTAGTCATATAGCAGCCCTTTATGCAGTGTTTGTTCACACTGTGCCAAATGCTCTGGGTAACCTAGAGTCTATCACAGGCTGTGCAGTTATACACAAAAGCAATGTCATTTTATATAAGGGTCTCAGGCAAGCGTGAGTTTCAGGGTCTTCTGGGGAAGGAGGTTGTCTTGGAACACTTGCTACAGGTACAAAGGATGGCTTTATTTGGGGTGGTGTAGGGTGTGAATCCGATTGGAAAAACTGTTCATAATAATACTTGGTACTAAGTAGGGAAACCTTAGTGAGCCAAATAATTTATCCGGGTTTCTTAGCTTTGGTCTCATTCTAGTTCGGAAATCTGAATCAAACCTTTTTGGAGAAGCAAGGGTTTTCTGTGAACCCTTCCCCAGGGACACCCCTCCTTTAACTGGGCATAGACACCAATGTCATTCTCCATGAAGGCAGTTGAGTCTGCTTCTGTATCTGAAGCCATCATGATAATTCTGTCTCTGTGGGGTTCTCCAGAGATGTCCAGAGTGCATTCCTTTCCACACTGCTCCTCTGTGTGCCAGAGCTCAGGAGAGGAGTCGGAAGGCTCTCCCAGCACATAGAAACCATCTGTCAGGCAGCGGGATGAACTTGTAGCTACTGCCTGTGCTATAGCGTGCATTCCTCCGCTATTTCCGTCAATAACTTCACATCCGTTTAGAGACGTGGTGATGAACGTATAACATACAAATAACCCTGGTTTCTGAATTTGAGAACAGTATTATGGGTTCTTAGGTTGTTGGTAACTTGCCCAAGAACACACAGTCAATAAACTGCATGATACAAAGTCGAACACCAGAATGGAGATTTCTCATTAACTGCTATCTAGTCCAAACTCTGCCTCATCCAAACCACAAAAAGGAAGCTGCTCCTGGCGGAGCTGATCTCTCGGGTTCCAGCACTTGCTGCCTGCCATCCCCCTTCTCTACACTGGCCAACACCCTCTCTCCCTGGGAAGACGGCTGTAAAAGAGATGGCTTAGTATTTGTGCAGCCTTTAAATGGTCACTACAGAACGATGAAGCATGAAATTCTCATAGCCGCTTGCTGAGGCAAGTCAAAAGAAGAAAAGACAACCCACGACGCTGGGGACTGTCTCTCTGGATTCAAATGTCACTTCAGAATGGCATGAAGCTAGTTTGTTGTTGTCATTGTTTTCTTTTTGTTTTGGTTTTTCGAGACAGGATTTCACTCTGTAGACCAGGCTGACCTTGAACTCACAGAGTTCCACTTGCCTCTGCCTCCCAGGTGCTGGGATTAAAGGCGTGCACCTTGAAGCTAGGTTTTTTTTTTTTTTTTTTTTTTTATCAGAACTCTGCTCTCCAGGGCACTGAAAATGTCTCTGTGGGAAAAGTAGACCAGGCACCAGTAAAACTGGGTAAACCAGAATGTTCCACAGCCTAAAGGCACATCCCTTGAGAGCAATTTCAGTTATGACAGGATGGATAGAGGCCCCGAAACACTGACAAAATTCTTGGCTCTATTTAGAAAAGTTAACGTTTATATGTGTGTCTGGAGATAGGTACTCAGAGGTCAGAGGAGGATCCCTTACAGCTGGAGTTCCAGGTAGTTGTAAGAGGGTCACTATGGGTACTGGGAACTGAACTCGGGTCCTCAACAAGAGCAGCAGGGGTAAGATCTGAGAGACTTCGCTCTTTCTAACTTGCAGGCTGACTACAGTGTGACTCTCTCACACGGAGCCCTCTGGTCGGCTTTCTTTAACCTGGGCACTGAAATGCACTTTCTTTCTTTGGCGTAGGGTTAGATTCCCAGGGCAGCCTTAGCAAAGCACAGTAACTAAATGGCTGGAAGAAGAGAAATTCATCATCTCACAAATCAGGGGACACGAAGTCCAAAACCACAGAGTCAGCAGCCCTGGTTCCTTCCGAGGCCCTGGAAGGAGAGTCATTTCCAGGCCCCGCTCCATGCTCACGGCCTCCAGCATTCTGCGGCTGGGGAAGAGCATTCTTCCCGTGGTTTTGTAGCGCTTTTCCTCAGCGGGTCTGTGTCCAGACTTCTCCTTTCCATAACACACCACTCAAGGCATCTAGGGCCCTGTCTAATGGCCACCCTTTAACTTAACCAACTGCAAAAGCTATCTGTAAAACATTCTCGGTTATGGATGTGGAAATTATGTAATTTCAGCATTTTGAGGGGATCACAATGCAACTCATAGTAACATCAATTTTTTTTTGTGATCTTAACTTTTACCCTTAAATCATGTTTTCTGTGACCACTGCCCTGAACACACACACACACACACACACACACACACACACACCACTCGCACTAACACACACTCTCAAATTGAGAAATTTGCTCCGGAGCCACACTTGGTTACTGTGTGATCCATGCTTGCTTGGACTCTCTTATGAA